AAATGATTGAGTATAATAACTGGATTAAATGGTGATGAAGATATCTGTTACCTTTACGCTGTAAGAACATTTTGTGTGCCAAGGATGAAGCTACAGCATCACTCTGATTTGTAAACCTATACTGGAGCCATTAGTCAGACGTTATTTCTGGACCAAAGTCAGTGAGTCAGCAGCACAGAGGAGAAACCAAAGAGCAGGAATTACTTCACATCAGGGAGCTTTTATTGTTGTAACTAAAAATACTGATGCTAGTTTACTGAACATTGCACTGCCACAGATTATTGTCTACTTTTAGTAATTTTTTTTAACTTGCTTATGTTTTATGAAACCCATGTAAAGTGTCTTAGAGCATTGTTAAAGCACCTGGAAGAGTATGACACACTGTAACACGGAGATTACATAACAAGACGTAATAACAGGCCACTCAGCGATGAGTTCACGCATCAGTGACGAGCTGCGAGCGCCACCGACGAGAAATCACGACTGGGTCACGTGCTCTGATGTGCAAGCGGAGCGGTAAGAAGACTTACTGCTATTGTCAAGAAGAGCTAAACATATTTTACTGTGAGCATCTGGATTTCTCTATTTAAATACATGTAACCATGATTTCTAATATTCAAGTATAATGTGATCAGATATCAGAATATGAAAAGGACTCACTGGTCACAGCCACGTGACGGTTAGCTTTGCCCTCGTCGATCACATCCATGACCTCATCAGGGCTGGAGACGAAACGCTCAGTGCATCCCTGACACAGAACATGAGACAGATTTAATCCAGAGGATCTCACGCAGCACAAAGACAGACTTTCACCCAGTGTTGAACAGTACTTTCACAAACCTTCACATAGGGCACCCTATTCTTATCCTCATGGACAGACAGGTTGGTCTTTGTCACTGAAAAATAAAGAAGGATTCAAATAGTGTATTGAAGTTCTGGAAAAGAAGAAGTAACACTTGTGCATTATGCACTAAAGTCTGGAAAATCCAAATATTTATAAGCACTAACCATCCAGCAGGTCACGGATTTTGTCCATGTAGATTTCAAAGTAGGAAACCTGGTGAGGAAGAAGGACATTTATTAAACCCCCCAAAATATTTGGTTTTACGTGTTTTATAGCATTAAAATTCTAGTAACAAGAGATAAAAGTTAAATTATTATTGTTCTGGTCAAAACCAAAACTGAACTGTAGATACAAGGACAGTGGAGCACATTTTTAAAAAGGTATAAAGTGGATTTACAATAACAAGACATTAATTCATCAAATACCTTGATGTGGAATTCAAGGTTTTCATCCATAGCAAAGATGTGGTTGAAAATGTCCTCAGCAATGCGAGGAATAATACCCATCTGGTGAGGGTCGTGGAGCTTGCCCTGCAGATAAAAGTATTACTGGCTGTCAATGGGGACTTCCTGCAATAATGACATTACATTTTCATGTCTGTTAATTCAAAGTAAAGGAGAGTCTTAACCAAACAAATATAACGACAGAGAATCAATGAACACAGATAAAATACATGGTGCCATCAAAAATACAAATCCAGTGTGAGCAGACAGGGTCATTTTCCAATGGTTGAATTAACATTAAAATGAATCTGGTGATGACATGTTCAAAGATTTTTCTATAAGATGACCAAAAGTACAAACACGGCATCTTTTTATTTAAAAGAAAAGTGCACCTCCATGGTGTGAGTCTTCCCGGAGGAGGTTTGTCCATATGCGAAGATAGTGCCATTGTAGCCACCCAGCACATCTATGAGACAAAAAAGAACAAATGAGACCACAGTGAATATTTTAGGTATGTTTAAATAATCGGATTTCTGCTATTCATCCGTACCCTTGACAATCTGCTTGGCACAGGTGTTGTACACCTGCTCCTGGGTGGTGTTGGTTGGAAACACGCGGTCAAAGACGTAGGACCTCCCCTGTGAGAAAGACAGCACACAGTTGTTAAAGGGAAATAAGAGAGAATACAGTTTTTTATCATCAAACTGTGTTACATTTTAGCTTTTGAATAATCAATCTGTGTTCAATCTTTTATGTCTTAAATGTTCAACAGAGGGTGTCACTGGAATGAAACTAATAAGGGGGATAATGACAATCAATAAAGAAATGTATGCTCACTTTGATATTGTAAAGTAACTCATGTGTGGTCTGAAACAAAATCTATTTAAAAAACACTTTTATTTTTTCCTCGAAAGCAAATGATCTGTGTAAGCTTTGGGAAATGATGTCACCCCTGCGAGGTGGTCAGTGACTCACTCATCCTCGCGTGCCTCAATATAAAGACACCAAGAATAAGATGTGCACTCATCTAAAATAGTGCTTGTTCAAATCTTTGCCAACCCTCTTATTAAAAACACATATTCTCCATCACAATATATTGTTGTGTGAAAACACACAAAAACTATATTTCTTTATGTTAGAAAAATCTCCTGAAATGAAAAAAACAAACATATTTGAGCTCAAAAGAAGTCAACAAAAGAAGATGATTTCAGTAGAAACTGAGAGAAACAGTCCTGCGGTGCTTCTTTCTCTAGCTTCAGCACCTGCGGACATCAGACATCATACAGATGTTACAGAAGCTGTGTGAAGAGACTCTTCCTACCACTGCTACTCCCCTCAGCACTGAATATGTTGTGTGAAAATTAATAGAGACTAATGAAGCTGCTGCACACTGTGTTCTGAAATTAATTTACTTAAAAGCTTAGTAAAAAGTGCATATTTATTTATATTTATTTAAATTAAATCTTTCAAACATTAGAGTGTGTGGTGGAGGCTACATCCACAGGAATATGTTTTGTTTACTTCAAAATGTGTCCCCAATACATCAGCTCCACCTAAAACACAAACAACCTCTGTGAGACACACCGACGCGTGACTCAGCCCGACGATCCTCTCTGCTTAAACCAGGCCGTTAAAGCCTCTGAATGTCACCCTCCCACCTGATACGCAGGCCCACAATGCAACACAATAACACGAGCTGCCAGAACACCAGCCGTATGAAATGTCATTAACAGATTGATTCATCTGCCGCCATGACAGGGAGATTTCACTGAGAGAGACATTCAGGAGGGAGTGACGGATTGAGGAGGAACAGAAGGAGACACAAAAATGGAGATGGTTGAGTGACGGAGAGACAGTGACAACAGGGGAGGAAAGAAATAAGAGATTGGTGAAAGACCTGAGGCAGAGAAACAGGCAGGGGGGATGGAGGCAGAGAAAAGAGAAAGCAGGTCAGTAAGCGATGTATGAGCTCGTTTAACGATTATTGATCCTCTCTGAATGCAATTAGAGAGATCAGTTTCTGGCTCTACTGTCCAGCATCATGCTGAGAGGAGACCAGAAGGTCAGGTCCAGATGTCTCCATTATCAGGAGGATGCTTCAACAGTATCTTTTTAACTCCGTATAGTCTCTATTTTCACGTTTTAAATCTCTTCACACAAGAGTTACACAGTCAATAATAAAACTCTAAATCTAAAGAGAGACCACCAGTAACGTACGCGTGCAAAACTGAAATAAACTTTACTATTATGCAATCTGACCACATTTTTAATGAACTGAACTCACACATGATTCAATTAAATTGATTGACGAGCCTCTATATTTTTATTTTCTCCTCATTTAAACTGAAATTATCTTAGCATGGGATCAATTCAATATACATTTTCTGAATTTCAAATGTAAACGTGAATCACAAAGCAAAGGCGTAGTCACTATTCCCAAATACGCCTACGTAGAAAATCTCCATTTGTCAAACCCTTTGTGTCTATAGTTGAAAAATGTAAACTATGTAGCAAAAACAAGAAGTGGCATTATTTCAGATTGTTTCCAATGGAAGTCAACCTGTTTCTAGATTTTTCTGGAAATGAACATCGGTTTCATTGACGTATTGAATAAGGCTGATAAGAATCAAGACAAACAGCACGTAGTTCCAAATAAAAATTGAGAAAATGTGATTATATTAGAAACTATCATTAGAATAAACCATAAACTGTTGACGAAAATTTGATGAGACCCAAAGAAGATTTTTTAAACATATAAACAGATGGACAGGTTTGCAGTGTTGGATACCTTTTGATAATCTTGATATTTAGTAAATGCCTAAGGTGGTACCCTGAAAAGATTCATCATTCACAACGTGTCAACAGCAATTTCAGATACTGCTCTGAGAAATGCTTCCACACATCAGCTCCTCCGAGTGAATGAAAAACAGTATAGTCAGGTTTTGATCAACCCAGCTCACCAGCCAGGGTCTAAACAAACATCATCACAGACCTGAGACCTGCCAGCGTCTGCTGACTAACAAGAAAAGGAGTCTCCTTCATATGGGAGAAATTAATTACAAAGAGGATATTAAACTTAATCAATAGAGTGACGTGGCCTTGAATTTTTTTTATTATTATTCATTAATAATCATGTATTATGAATGAGAACCATTTAGATGTGATCTGTACAGTAAAACAGCCTGTATCATTGAGTGCACATCAAAGGCCCGAATACGCACAACAACAACATTGCAAGTATTTTTGCTTTGTCATGTAAAGACAGATTAGGGGGGGTGCTGCATCGATGATCAGGTTTTGCTGCACAGCCCACGACCCAAACAGATGTCTCCAGCAGCTGATGATTTATGGATGAGGGGCCTGTGTGTGCACAACAAAGCGCCTCCGTGCATACTCACCCCGACGGCGACGGTGTCATCGCCCTGAAATTTGGGCAGAAACAGGTCCCCGCGGTTAATCTCCGACTGGTTCAGGGGGCGAAAGCGACACAGCACTTTTATGTTGCACTCCGCTGGGATGTCGGCCATGGCGCAGACTGAGCTGGTGGAGGATGCTGCGTTCTGCTGCTGAGGAGGAGGAGAGAGGCTGCGGGAGCGGGATGCGGAGCCTGCGGGAGAGCGATGCGCAGACTCTCGGACCTTCTTGGTGCAGAGGAGGCCGGAGGACGGGCCGGATGGTTTCGGGTGAGGTGCAGATTTATTGGTGCGCAGCTGGACGGTGTCTCCGTGTCGCAGTGAGGCGGACGCTCTAAATGTTGAAGTCAAACCGTAAAACGATCCGCTACATCATTACGACCACCGACTCTGGTGCTGCTCGTGCTCCTCTGTGGGACGATCGGTATTTATCCTCCGTGTGTTTTGCGGGCGCGGCGGTGGACGTGCGTGTGTCCGGTTGAAGGTGAGACGCTGCTGGAAGGACAGGGGGGTGAAGCTGCTGATGAAGATGATGAGGATGATGCTCAGCTCGCCACAGCGCCCTCTGTCGGCGGGTCGGGAAAGGGCGTGGTCTGCATCCATCGCGTTAAAGTGGTACCCACAGCATCAGCATCCCAGCTCAGCATCTCCCCCCCCCCTCCTTCTTTCCACAGGCAGGCGGAAACCACTGCGTCACATCCGAGCAGAGAGGTGAAGGATGACTTGATTAGTTTACATGAGGCAGCCACCAGGCCCCATAATGCAACCTGCCATACTCTGTCTGTGTCCTCGAAGACACGAGACACCATCCCATCATGTGAGGGCAGTGAGGACTTTTGATTGAAAGATGAGTTTAGAAGCGGCATCACTGTGTCCGATCAATCAATTCAATGTTCTTTACGTAGCCAATTTGTTTCAAAGGGCTTGATAAGGTGTGGCATCCTCTGCCCTAATCCCTCAACTAGAGAGGGGAATAACTTTTAACCGAGGGGGGGACCTCAGAAAGCCACAACTGAAGAAACCTGACTCTTATGATGTTATTTTATCTTTAGTGTCTTCCTTCATATATGTAAAGTGTCTTTAGCTCATGTCTGATAAACTGATGAAAGAAATAGAACCTAGCACCTATAGATCCAGGCTTCTATTTGGATCTGCACCAAATTAGTTATATACATCAATCCCCTAAACATGTCAAATTTGATTTCATCGAGATACATTAATTATTTAAACCTTGATTTCATCTGTTAATGTGCAATATTTTACTTCTCAATTATTTATGTTTAACATTTTCTTCTCTTTGTATTTATTGATTCTCTGCTTTTTTTATTTGTATTCTAATGTGATTTTACTTTTCTTGATCTGTAATACCTGTAATGTTCTGACTATTTTTAAGAGTGTACTACTATGACACTTATTCTTTCCAAGTTATCAATTACTACAAACTGATTTCTTCATATATTCTGTCGCAACAGTAAACACTCATCAATACGATGCATAAAGGCAAATTCAGATAAATACAAAATAAACTGCATCATAAAGCTGCTCATATTTTTTTCTTAACAGACATCAACACAAGATACATTTTCTGTAAATAGTTTAATATTAAATAAAAAAAGACTCCCATATAAAAAAGAAAGCTACAGTCCACAATTTAATCGTCTTTTTAAACATAAGTATTGAAAGCAAAGGGGTAGAATGAGAAAAATACTTAATTACAATTCCCAGAAAAATTCACAATTCATTGTTTTCTCTCGTCTCTTTCTCTAACAATATAAAATCAAAATAAAACACATTAACTGTACATATGTACAAATCTCCAAGTGTAGAAATTGCATAATCTGCTTTCTTTTTCACTTTTCTTTATTCTTTTTTTTTGTTGTTTTGTTTTTTTTTTTAAATACAGCTAGCGATGCCAGTACTCTTGGGGCGGGGCAGTGTGTGGAGGAGAGCTCAAACAGTGACATGAGACAGAGGGAGGATATTACTCCAAATCCACAGTAACACACGGACTCAACAGATCCACGTAGGACATTATCACTCTCTGCGACTTAAGTTTTCCAACCATTCATTCATACACTCCAAAGACATACTGTACTTTCTATAAACTGAGCTCATGTTCAGTTTCAAAATCAAATCCTTCTTTTTTTTTTCTCCACACATTTGTCTCGTGGCCGGGGGGTGAAAGTTTTGGGTGAGTGTTAAGTCAACAGATAATTACATAGTCTCCATCACACCACAGCCACAAGTATTTCTTCACAGCAACAAGTAACGCAGCATGTGAAATTTAAGTGGGTTACAAAAGTGAAGTAAATGGTGCTCAAAGTTTTTTCTGAATTGTTCCAGATTCAGTTCTGGACCTTGCAAACCTCAAAACCTGTGGATGTGGTCAGATTCACTTGTTCCCTGGTCTTTAAGGGAAAAAATAAATGTAGTATGGCAGTCGTACAAAAAACTTAAACTTTAGAATTAACATTTTCTCAGTTCATAAGATTATTAGTGATATACAAACCATTAAGGGAAAAATGTAGAATCAGGATTAAAGAAAAACAACATGTGACAAGTGGCAGATGTAAACTTGAAACCTGATAGATTGAACCACATTATTTCCTTGGCTTAGCCCATACAAAGGTTATTTCATCCTGAGGAAGGAGGAAAAAAAAACTCCGGCTCTACTTATATTCGTCCGGCACCTTTCTTTCTCTCTTCATGAATTCTTTGAAAAACAACTGCTGTGCATTTCTTTACCTCACAAACGAACCGGGTCTTGGTTACGAAAATTCAACTCATGTTTGGACAGCGAGGGGCTCAGCAATAGCACTGTTGTCCAACACACACATAAAAAGACACACACATCCACACATGTGCACACACACACACACTTTCAACAGAGAGCATCGTTCAAGTAGATGGGCTTTATCCTGACTCACAGTTACACACTGATGAGAAGAAAACAGTACTTGTTTGTTATTTTTTGTATTTTCTCACTGACATAAATCTAACACCAACCATAATTAACAGATCTCTGATCACAATGTCAAGCAACCATTATTTTGTGAACTAGACCTAAGAGAAGACGAAGTGAAAATGTATCCACAAACTCTCTCCAAATTTTTTTTGGGACTTTTTTATAAATTAATTTTCAGACTAGATCTCTCTCCTATGCGTTTTTTCATAGTGGTTGCCATAACAATGGTTGACATGACAACAACATATTAGTGCAGTTGAATTAATAAGAAAAAGTTCTAAACAGTGGTGATGATGGTGGAGAAATGGAGGGGGATAGGGGGGCGCCTGGCCGCCTATGATTGGTGCACACAGCTCTGACTGACAGCTCCCTCCACCAATCACTGTCTCTGAGACCTGGCGCCTCGTCGCCTCCTGCCGCGGACTGACCTCTCAGGCTTCAGCAGTGCTGTCTGGAACAAGAGAGAGACAGAGGGTGCATTCAGTCAGGCTTATCTCCTCATTCCCCTGTAGCAAACTTTTTGAAACTAAAATATGCATAACAATTTTAAAGTTGGGGCCCTACAACAAAACAAATAAACAAATTCATCTCACCTCTTCGATTAATTCAAGAAAATGTCACCTGGCACTTGTCTAGATAATTAAAATATGGGGTGCGATGAAAACCAAGAATGCATCACCAACAGTATATAACTGGTTGGACCAGGGCAGGAAATTATTAAATCATATGTGGTTACATATTACAAATTAAAACAATTAACACACACACACACACACACACACACACACACACACACACACACACACACACACA